ACTACCTGAAAGGAGGTTGTAGCGAGGTGGGGGTCGGTCTCTTCTCCCAAGTAACAAGCGATGGGACGAGAGGAAATGGCCTCAAGTTGCGCCAGGGAAGGTTTAGATTGGACGTGAGGAAAAATTTCTGTACTGAAAGAGTGGTGAAACATTGGAAGAGGCTGCCCAGGGAAGGGGTTGAGTCACCATCCCTGGAGGGATTTAAAAGACATGTAGATGCGGCGCTTAGGGACATGGTTTAGTGGGCATGGTGGTGGTGGGTTGACGGTTGGACTCGATGATCTTAGAGGTCTTTTTCAACCTTAATGATTCTATGATTCTATGTTGAGCTAAATTGAAAATAGTCAATTCCCAGTAAGGACAACTGAAAGTCTTATAAACCATAATAAAATGGGGACTGCTCAATTTTCAGATACATGCATCAGGGAGCCATTTCACAGGGTAACACTTGACAGATATTTTCATTCTTCACAGCATAAAAGTGGCCCAACCATCCCTCTTCATCCCCAAAACCAAAAGGCGATTTGTGGAGAGCAGGTTCCTGCTGCCCATACCAAGCCAGTGTGGGCAGCACAGCCCTTCAGACACCCAGGACACCCTGTGGACCAGCCACCCCACATCTGTGCTGGCAGTGGGCAGCCAACCCCCAGCAGAGCTGCTGCGTGGGATGCCTGCAAGCACAGAACTTCCCGTGCCTCGTGGCATCAGCAGGCTGGCAGTGGACAAATGCGCACACTGCCCATGCCTGGCTGCCCCTTCCTGAGGGACCTAGCAGCCCTCCTGCCACCTGCCCAGAAGCACACGCGACACATCAAGATGCAGCCATTCCCCCCACCAAAAATAGGCTCCCCATCATGCTGGTGAAAAACCAGCTCCTTCAGCCTCCTTGCTGGAGCCTATGTGGTCCATCGTGGCCAAAACATTCCTTGTCCCAAGTCTGCAGAAAACCCAATGGGCTGCATTTCATGGGATGAGACTAGACTGTGAATGTAGCTGTAAAAGACTTGTGACAAATCAAGAGCTCATTTACGTTTTAGAAGAGACACCGAGGTCCCTCCCTTCAACTGCTAATTTAATAGGTTTCCAGTACATTTTTTTTTAAAAATACACCAGAGTCTGGAAGCGGATGCTCCTACAGTTAAACCAAAACTTTGACTTACTTAGCACTGCCTGGCAAAGCTAAATAACAACCCCTGAGCTGTACTGCAATATGCAAGTACTAAAATTAAAATTATATTAGGTGCTAGCTGCTCTCACAATGGCCCACATCTTAGGGTTTCAACTGCACCTCTGCCACACAGTCCTCCTAAAGCAGGCTTTATTGCCAAGCTTTTATATGTGCCACTGTTCAATCAAACAAAACAGCCTTCTGCCAGAGAGTGAGAGTGAGATTAGGAAGTAGAACTGACTTATTTCAAGTCTCCTAAGAGCAAGCAGCAATTAACACAACCTCAAGAAATGAAAAACTGAGTGAAGAGTGAATGTTCCAAAGAAAATGCAAAGTTGCACAATACAAGCTGGTTTTCTTCGCACTGGGTAAGTCTCAAGCTGGCTATGTTTAAAGGTAACTATATTTACTGAAATGCATCAGTCACATTCTTAATATCAGCATTTCAGCCTTCAAAAGGTGAAAATGTATAAAGGAGTCAGGTTCCCTTATGGGATGATGCAGAGTTGCTTCCTCAGCCAAGTGCCGATGGAAGGAGAGGGCTGTCAGGCAGAGCTGGCTGGGCCAGCCCAGGAAAAGACGCTTTGGCAAACACAATTACTCTAAGATGCAGATCTCTTCTGCAGAACCCTAATAATGGAAAAAGCATCCAGATACTGAAGAGGTAAATGCAAAATGCAGAAAAATGACTGTAACAAGCGAAACGTGAACTTCCTCACTGATTGACTAATTTTGGAAAGAGGAACAGTCAAGTTCAGGAACAATATTCTGACACTTCTCTACCAGAAGGATGAAAAAGGGGGAGAGAAAGCTCAGAGGAACACTAACGGACCCACATTGCTGCATGTAGCGAGGAGAGGAGGGCAGCCCTCCCAAGGCCTGCCCTGCAGAGCCAGCCAGGAGGCAACAGCAGGCTTAGGCCACACGCAAACAGACAAATTTCTACGTAGAAGTCAGGCAGCTGGAGAAGCACGGCTGCGCGTGAAGATCAGACACCCACAAGCCACCCAAGCAGCAGAGGTATCTTGCTGCTTCACAGACCTCTGTTTGGCAGTGACTTCCCCACCACGGACTGCCCTTGGGTCTCCTAGGGAAGCACAGGGACAGGGGAAAAGCCCCTCAGATCCTGCAGGTACAGGCGGGCTCTGACACCGGGGGGGCTCAGCCATGTCCCCACGCAGCTCTCCCATCACCACAGGGAAGGGCCTCCGCACTGCAGCACCCTCCCACTGCCCAGCTCCAAGATGCCACCGGGCTGGCCCCTCCAGGGTGATCTGGCTGCTGCCTCCCACAAGCGACAGCTTCATGGAGGGCATGTGCTTTTCATTCCAAACAAACACACGCTTTACATATCAGAGGTAAAAGATTTTATTATCCCATGGATTTTTCCTAAGAAGTAAGAGTCCTACCAGACAAAATATACAAAGCATCTTATGTTTTCTTTCTAGACAACTGCATTCTCATCCCATGAAACAATGACCACGTTAGTTCACCTTAAAGAACTGAGGTTTGTCCTTATAGCTGCGGGATTGCACAGAGTTAGCATATTCAATGACCAGTTAATTCATGCAGAATCAGAAGGAAGGGGAAAAAGGTCTGTATGCTCACCTGAGTGCAGGCTTAGGTTCCTAGAAATGAAGAGAAACGCAGGGCTTAAATTTACCAGTTTGCAGTACTTCCATTAAGTGAACCAATTCTCTGACCCTTCTTGTCATCCACTCCACAATGAAAGGTTAGGGCTAGTAGCAAGTTATCGTTGGAAAAACACAATGCTAGAAAAGCAAATACCCCTCTGGCAGTGGGAAACTTTCCTTACCAACCTGCATGAAGCACACATAATTCCTCATTTTACATGAAGCTTAAAGCAGAATGAAACCAGTGTCCTCCTCTACCCGCTAAAACTTAATTGTTTATAGTTGACTATGTTTATACAAAAAAAAAAATTCTCAGCCTTTAAGGACATACTAATTCCTATTGCATTACATGACCATCTTGAGGTCCTGTTTTGTTTTCACATAATTAACTCACAGTATTATTACTTAAGTGCTTTATTCCAAAATATATTAACTTTTTTTGGTTCTGCTGAGTTAATGATTATACTTGCATTTACTTTATCCTTCCTCTTCTAAAACAACAAGCTCATTTCAATAGATGGTGAACAAGTCCAGATTTGCTGGAAACCAGTTAACAAGAATGTGCCAAGCTGAAAGTCACCCCATTCTTTCAAGCCAAAAAACTGCCTGCGTTTCAAGAACCTAATTAGTTTTAACTATATTTATGGAACCGAGGAAAGTATATTTAATTACTCTGCAATTCTTCCATCTGATGATCAATAGAAATGTCATTGTGTTCACACAATTTCTCTGCAGTATATTGATCAGCTGAATCTTGCCTTGTATCAATATCTGTACTACAATGGTGCCTGCAGATAATGCAATACATGGCTGGACTACAGTAATTACTATCAAAACAGCTTTCATCAGAGGAGTTATACAAGAATACACACTTTGTTAAAAAAAAAATTAAAAATTCTGCTTCCGCACTTGCCAGTAACTACCAGTTCTGCTGCTGACACCACTTTGTACATAGGCATGGCACCCCATCTGCACACAGATGGGATCTTCACAACTCAGGAAGAAAGACCTGTGTGAACATAACTCATCTTTCCAGGTAAGCAGAGCTGGCCAAGACAGACACGGGGCTGGAGTAAACCACCCGGCTCCACCCGCAGCCACAGCCTACAGATGGGACATCAGTGGAGCTTTGGCACCTTGCATCAAAGATTCACCTCTTTATTTACTTGGGCAAAGTGACAGATCTGCCCAGGATCCACAGCAGATGCAACTCTGTTAGAGAAAAGGCTACACGGCCTTGCACTTCACCCTCTGCTTTGTGGCCGGGGAGCAGGGACATGCTGTGTCATTCGTGTCATTCCCAGCCCACCTCATTGCCCCCTGCCCTGGCCTCCTGCCCATCCTGAACAACCATTAGGATACCCTGCATTGCTCAGTGGGTCACACTGAGCCATGCTGCGTTCAGGAGGAGACATGGGGGGGGGGGGGGGGGGCACAG